TTGTATATGATTAATTTTGCATAATTGTGTGATATAAGTACAAAATAGCATAAAAAATCTAAATGTTATATACGGGAATTGAACCGTGGCACGGTAACCACGGTTCATCTGGTAACCGTGGGAATTCCATCCGTGGTTCACCTTATCCGTGGTGTGGATCAAATAAACCACGGATGGATACCACGCCAGTCCCTAGTCTCCACTACGTCTAATTTCATCCGCACCTTACCGTGGTCTGCCATCTAGTTGGTTGGTGACTTTCAAATGGATCCTCTAATCCGACCTTCTGCTGTGCATGTGATAAATATTTGAAAGCCCAATTGCGCTGCAGATGAAATAATCGCACATATATACATGCGATATCTCCTTCAATCGGGCTGTGTTTGTAGAGGAGCGTAGGTTCTCCAGAGACCATATCGGTTTAAGGATATCATTCGGAAATGAAGTCTGCTGCTTGCACTCATCCTAGCATTTCAGAAACTTAATTTTTGCAAGTCGCAATCTCCTTTCGACTCAATGCCATTGCAGTTTCTTCGCCCGTTGTGATCGCACTACCAATCAACTGGGAAGTATAAATATAACAAAATCAGGGAGTACTTGACTCTGAACTTGGAAAGTAGTACTACATAGCAAGACATAATTCAAATCGCAGCAAAGAATATGTTACATAGGTCTCTTCGGTCTGAATATTTGCAAACAGGCGGGAAGTGCAGTAACTGACGCCGCCTCTTCCCTACGCTACTTACCAACGTCCGACAAAGCGATTTAGACACCTATGGACGCCAATAATTTGCATTAACTACCCTTGTCCTTGCTCTATACGCTTTGTGGCGCTTTGCCCGCCTTATAGTCGAGTTTTTCCGATTTCCTAGTGCATAGTCAGAATATTTCAAGTTTCAAATTCTGTGGTGCGCCATGGAGCTCTTATAGTACCCGGCTACGGGGTCGCAACGGAGACGGATATTCTGGAGGATATGGTATGTTTGGAAGATCTCCAAAAGGGCTCCATTACCGTACTTGACGGACTTTAACCGTGTGAAAGTGCTCGAGTACTCTGTAAGAGCTGCCATACGATCTGCTGTAAGGGCCATTGCACTTCAATGATTAAAGATCCGAGGCTTTATGACAGAAATGAGGCTCACGTACGATAAACTGGATTCGGACATTAACACAACGATTGCACGTCGCATTAATCGTTGCACCGTTTAGAAGCAGAACGTTTCCGTTGATGATTGGACAATTCGGACTTAACGACGATTCGCGCAGTCGCATTTCCCGCATCGACTCATGGAACACGGAGCTCCAGCGCCCCGAATGTGATCGTACGCAGAGCCATGTTGTGCAAAGCATCCGATAACTATGCTGCTGACAATGTTGTTTAGCCTTGTATCTTGTCATTGCTAGCTGCGTTCACAGTATAAATACAGGGGACAAAATGGTACTCATTAGCATAGCAAGTCACTCAGAGATACTCAGAGATGTCTAACTCAACTACAATTCTCCATCTTCCGGACACCTTGGCGAACTGGCCTTGGCAGCGAACGATAAACCCGCACTATGAAGAGGTGAAAGCCGAGTCTGATGCTTGGTTCCACAGCTTCAAGGCATTCTCTGCCGAGTCCCAGTACGCATTCGACAAGTGCGACTTCGGTCAGTTGGTCTATTCGTGCTTGTCATGTACGCATTGTGCTAATGTACACGACAATAGCTCGCCTTGCTGCGCTCGCGTACTCAAGCGCCTCGCGAGGTAGGGTTTCTATTCCATGATAATTCAACATGAGAACTGAAAAGCGTTTAGAGCACCTACGCACAGGTTGTGACCTCATGAATCTGTTCTTCGCCATTGACGAATATACCGATGTGGAGCCTGCACCGGTGGTCCGCAACATGGTGGATATAGTCATTGATGCAATGAAGGACCCACACAAACCTCGCCCAGAGGGAGAAGTTGTTCTCGGCGAAATGGCTCGCCAGTGAGTAATAATTCGGTACCCTCAACTTAATATGTAACTAACTCGATCAGATTTTGGGAATTGGCAATTAAAAGCGCCAGTCCGGCTGCCCAGCGTCACATGATTGAAGGCCTAACAACAAATCTTGACTCGGTCGTTCATCAGGCGGAAGACCGTGACAACGATACGTATCGTTCGATAGCTTCCTATCTGGCAAATCGTCGCGAGAACATCAGTGCTAAGCCTTTCTATGTTCCTATGGAACTTGGACTCGACCTCCCTGACGAGGCATTCTATCATCCTGTCATCACTGAAATGTCGGATTATATCGCGGACTTAATTGGACTTGGCAACGTGCGTTGTCCACGATAACACTACCGCATCAATTTCTCGGATACTGACCTTAAGGATGAACATACAGGACATGGCGTCCTACAATTAGGAGCAGGCAACTGATGACGACAGACACAATATCGTCACTGTAGTCATGCACGAGCTGAATGTCGGCCTAGACGCCGCTATGCAGTGGGTGTTGAACTTCCACCGAGAGACCGAGGCGAAATTCCTGGATGCCGTTAAACGCGTGCCTTCCTTTGGTCCTGAGATCGATCGCCAAGTCAAGCACTGTGTTAACGGTCTTGCTAACTGGCCACGAGGTAGTGACTGTTGGAACTTCGAGAGTGGAAGGTACTTTGGTAGCAAAGGTCTCGAGGTTCAGAAATCTCGCGAGGTAGCACTCCTTCCGAAGGTCGAAAAGCCCACAAAGGATGGATCGTTGAGGCGTGAAAACGTTGTGGTCCCACTTATTGAGGCGCTTGAAGGCAATTGATGTATTTCTGCCAAGGTAAACACGATAAGATTACCGTGTCTCCACTTACCTGACGTGGATAACGCGTTCGTCGAGAACATAGCAATGAATACAGATTTTCCAGAACCCGAACATGCTAATTTTGCACAGAGGACATCAGTAAAAGCACTCACCAGTCCGAATGCCATACACAAAGTCAAATTTTTGGTCAGTTTAGCAATCCAAGAACAAATAGTAGACAGATTCAAGTCTGTTGCCGTCGATTTCAATTTGATGTCATGTGACCTAAATTTTTTGTTGTGTCACGCTATCGCCGTGACCTTGGAAGACCGCCATCCGAGCACACACTTCGTTTTGCTCCGAACACATTTCTTTGAATCTTTCCTCTGACCTGTTTACTGCATAAATTGCACACTATATATGATACTGTCGGAAGACAAAGAAGCCTCGAGATCTAATGTCCTGTCACTAACCAAATAGTGCCCGAAGCTCTTTCCACCCCTCAAAGCCGTCAGATTCCCTTACTCAAACCTCCGATTACGAAACTAATATTAGCTCATCACCATTACGTTGAAATCATCCTTAGCGACCCGATCTCACCATTTTTGTAATGTATGTGTTCCCTTGTTTCGTATCGTGCTATGAGGCTAATTCTATGGTGAGAAGTTACAGGCGATTCCTCCATGATTTACAACGATGTTGCTGCACGCAGAAGCCAGGAGAAGACTGGTATCGAGTCTCTAAGGGGTAGACGGAATAAGGGCCAACGGCACGAAAATATTCTAAATCGGGACTCTATATAATCGCCTACTTTAACAAGAAATAAGAGCGTCATTTTAAGTTCCGTGACTTCCTACGGCCAATCACTGATCATTGTTGTACGCCATCGTCCAAGATTCCTGGAATTTATTGGATGCTGAAGTTCCATGACCAACGCCATTCATAATACCTATTCTCATTTGAAGAAAATGTTATTTCTAGAATAATCTGCTCATTGCCCTTCTCCTTTAAATATGACCGACCATTCGTCCGCCCCGAATCAATCGGTCTAATCATCGACGCCACGCTACGCACAAAAAATGTCTGTCAAATCGTTCAAGCTCTCTGACGGGACTCAAATCCCCTGGATTGGATTTGGCTCTGGAACAGCGTTCTTCAAAATGGAGTGCAAGGATGCCGTAGCACTTGCTTTATCCGTGGGAATGACGCATATTGACACTGCCGGGATGTATCAGAACGAGGTGTGCTGTTGGGTTTAATCTGATAACTGTGAACGTCGCTAAGTAAAATGACTGGATTATTGAATAGGAAAGCGTCGGTGACGCCATTGCTTCGTCCGGTATCCAGCGTTCCAACCTGTATGTCACCACGAAGCTCGCTGCTATTCCATCAGGACAGACGGTTGAAGACTGCCTACGCCAAAGCCTGAAGAAACTGCAACTCGACTATGTTGATTTATACCTTATTCATGCACCTGTACAGCATCTTGAACGGGATGGAGGCCTGAAACAGGTCTGGCGTGAGATGGTCGAGGTGAAGAAGAAGGGACTCACATGGAGTATTGGAGTAAGCAATTTCAATATCAAGTACCTCGAGGACATTATCGAGCTTGGACTTGAGAAGCCCGTCGTTAATCAAGTACGTATCCTGTGTTTAGTCTCTTTGCATAGCAGCTAACGGGGGTTGCATAGATTGAGTATCATATATTCAACTGCTTACGTCTCGAACCTTTACTTGCCTATTCCCGGAAGCATGATATCATAACGGAAGCCTGGGGCAGCCTCACTCCACTCCTTCCCGACCGTATCAAAGACAGTGAGCAACTCGCTGACGCGTGTACCAAAGTCAAGTCCATACTTGACGAGATCGCCAGGAAACGCGGGGACACTGTGACGCAGAATCAAATTTTATTCAAGTGGCTTGAAGCTAAGGAAATCATTGCCGTCACCACATCGACCAAGGAGTCACGTTTGATGGAGTATCTTGAGACGGAGCAGGTTAAGGATTTAACACCAGAGGAGGTGGAGGTAATCGATAATTCAGCCGGAATATATCATCGATTTGCGGTGAGTTTGCAATTTGCGTTGCCTTCTGTACAGAAGAACTAATTGGGTCCTGTGTACAGAGGACCACAACATGGATGGACGATATATAGTTGGTAGCGCAATCAGATCGGAGGGTAGTGTAATACAGTCTCTTTTATTTCCATGTGTGAATTGCTAGCTATCCTCATTTCTATCCTGATTTGAATGATGTGGATGATATATATATATCTAGTAAGATTTATTAGCAGAATAACGAGTGCTTCGTTAGGATATAATCATGTATTATCAGTCTTTGCTTTTTACACCTCTTGGTGACAATTAGCGAAGTGTCTTCCGTTGAAGAAGGCGACTCAAACTTCGACTTGCACATTAATCCATATTATCTGCTTGCAGACCTGTTTTCTTTAAATCTTTTTTTGCGCGAAATCGCTTGGAACTTGGAACTTGCTGTCCAGAGTCAACCATCAATTAGGTTGGCCCGTGGGAACAGAGTCAGTGCCTGTCCTGTACAATGCAAAATCATTGCAATGCGGTCAAGCCAATTGGTACTCGCCCTACTAGTACCTTCATGTAACTTGTGCTGGAAATTATGACACTTTATAGAGACTACCTACATGACCATGCAAAGTTCTACTGTCCACCCGCCGATAGGCATCAGACAAGGTCTGCCTCCCTGACGCATGCCGAACTTGAACAGGTGTTGTTCTCAACAAGGTGCTTGGTGCGGATCCTATCCCAAAACGTGAAAATGTAGGTTTCCAGCAACACTATAACGGCGAACGGAAGCGGATCGTGACATCGTGTCGCAAGCAGATGCGAGCATCGTCTCTCGCTATGAAGCCACTTTCCTTACCCTATTATTCAGGTCAGGGCCTTTATCAACAGTGGACCTCTGCAATTTCTCGCATGAATCATGTTATCCTGCGGGAATCGCATTGCGATAAAGACTGAAACCGCAGCTCCGGGTGGCAGATGCACCGTAGACTACGTGTTATCCACAAGGGAGGGCAAGAAGGCTTTGCTTGAATTGAAGGCTCCAAGCGTCTTCGATTTGACTGGAATGAACTCTATACTTTCCAATGCCGAAGACGGCTTCCATGTAACATTGGATTTGCAAAAATTGGGACAGGAATGTAAGTCGTTGTTAAGAAAGGGGAAAGAGAGGTTATGTGAGAGGCTTAGAGGGATCACGCAAAGAGGGGGGATAGTGGACTCGGCTCGCTCTCTCGCGGCTTGCTTCATCGTCCGTTGATTAGTTAGTCTATATATACTATGTAGGTATGTCTCAGATGTAGAATGTATGATGGAAGGTATTCCATCATCGTTCGTCATTGCTTGTAATGTAGTTTATATCATCTGAGACATGCTCTCGTGTAGTCTCGTCTTAACACTCCCCTTCAAACTCTTACTAGGTCTAGTAGACTTGTAAGATGTTTGCTTACAGTATGTATAGGTAGTTTAATCATTATAACTGCATTGTACAATTGTTCGTTTGTGTAATGCGTTTATAACTTGATGTAGTTAATAATAATATTATTAGTATTGTAGTAATGCATTGTCTGTTCTGTGTACTGTCCATTCTGAATGTTATCCACTTTGTGTTAAGTTTGTCCAATGTTATATTGATTAAGTATATTTAATTAGTTTGTTCGTTCATAATATACTGTTCAATAACAGCATTGTTATCACAATAGATCATTTGTAAATGTTATTAAATAATTTGTAAATGCTTCAGAGACCTGCAGAATCTTGTTAGCATGCATAGGTATGTATATGTGCATATTTAAATCATAAATGCAATTGCTTGTTTTGTTTTATTGTTTGTTATTCAGTCATATTGTTTGTTATTAAGTTTGTTTGAGTACTCTAGTAATTTCCTTTTACTTCACTGTGAAACTAATGAATCATACTAGTAAAATGTATATTCAATGTTACAATAATATCCTTCTTTAATATACTGTCTGTGTTTGTCTATGTTTGTATATACATTAAGCATTCAGCAATAGCTGATTTATGTCTTTGTATTGAAGCTTTGTATTGATTGTATATTGTAATATTAATAATAATATTTGTTTTTGTTAGATTACTTCATTCTAAGATCAATAAGGTTTTATACTAACATATATTTGTTGTATAAGTGTTATGTCTGGCTGCAGGCATCTCACTATGTGTCTAGGTGCATCATATATGTATTATATCATGAATGTATTGTTTGTTCGTTTGCTTTACATTATTGTTTATAGTTATGTATTAATTTATTAACATTATGTTTGTTAATTGATTGTTTCTAATACATCCTGAGTAACTATGCAATCTGTTGTGTTGTTTCTTTAATAGCTAACATAGTTATCTATTGTAAATCATTACTAACATGTGTTTGTATTATTTATCATTAACAATGTTATTATGAATTGTTGCAATTGTAGTATTGTGTATATATATGTGTATGTTATAGTTATTGTTCTTTGCTTTTTCTTTTTGCAAAGGATAATGTATTGTAACACAATCTGTATATAAGTGATATATCAGATTATGTTTAATATAATTGTCTCCTAGCATTCTTTAGTTAATCTAGTGTTATGTGCAATTGTAGTATTTGTTCAATGTTTTATTTGTTAATTGGTTTGCTAGGTAAAACGTTTTATATATCAGTTTTATTTATTTTATTTGAATCATTGTATAGATATACCTATTAGTATCTGTCTGATGTATTTCATAGTATTATAATACTGTTCACACTTGTATTAATTGTACAGTAAGGGCAAATTAATTGTTTGTACAAGAATTGATTTAATAGTATTATTTAATTATATGTATATGCTCCATACTTGTTTATATAGTTATTATCTGTGTATTGTTCAGTTGTAGTTACAAATTATATTGCAATTATATCTGTATTATCCTATGGATATATTATTTATTGTTTTATGTATGTTCTGAAGTATTATTTTTGTTATTCATCACTTTTATCCATGAACTATAGTCTGGATTAATGAATTATTTTGTTATATAATGTGATAATTGTCTGTATATTATTTATTTTTGTATTAAACACTGTTAAGTTAATTATATTATCATATTAATATTATTTGCCAAGTATGAGCATTTGTTTTGTAGTAGAATTATTATTTATTTAACATTGAAGTTCAATTACACATTGTGTTGACTTCTGTTATTTAGTTCTGATCAACATAGTTTCACTTTGTACCAAATGATTTACCTTTATAATCTGTTATGTCTGTCTGTAACTTCTATTGCTTAGTCAGTGCTTAGTCCATGAATTTTGTTATTCTATTTTTTGTAGCATCTGTAGTGTTATACTTTCTGTTCTGTTGTTTATATTTAGTTATTAATTTTTTGTACATATTATCCATTTTCTCCCCTTCAATTCAAGAAGGTATTTCTTCAAAGAATTGGATATTTCTTTAACATTTATTAGTTGTTGTTATAATATAATATTTATATATATATAATAATTGTAATTGCTTTTGTAGTTTGATTTCTAATTATTAGTATTTTAAAGCAGTGTGTAACGTTTGTTATGTTCTATAATAAGTAATTTAAGTAGTATTACTATTATATCTTTGTTACTGTTAACGTTTGTCAACTTATATAATGTGTATTTTGTTTGTTATAGTAGATAAGTACACATTATGTATAATATACAAGTTTTGTTCACACTCATTATCTTTTATTAATTATTGTTTGTAACTATGAATGAATATTTTGTTTTTGTGTTGAAAACATATGGTAATTTGTTTGTTTCTGTATAATATTCGTTTAATAACATTATAATTATTATTTATGTAACACTTTTAGTAAATGTACTGAGTTCTATTAAGTATGCTTGCATCCATTATTGCCTATTTTATATTATATTGTCTAAGATAATGGCTTAAACATTTTATTAATTTATTTAATCATATTATATTATGATTGTTTTCAATTGTAATTATTATAATAATGTGTTTGTAATAATTATATTTGTATTATTTGTTGTAATAGCCTTATCAGCTTAATACTTCACTCCTACAAGCTATGTTGTCACAATGTAAATTTAATAATTGTTTGTTAAAGTATATATACTGTACAGTTAATGTTACTGTTGCAACTTCGAAATTTATTACATAATCAACTACTGTGATAACACGTTCTGTGTAATTAAGTTGTATTGATACATTGTTTCAAGTATATTAGAGATATAATTCTTTCGTTTGTCATTAGTATACATTTACACTATTGTATTAATGTGTAAAGTAGTATTATTTGTTTAATAATTATAATTTTTGCACTTGTCTTGTGCTGTAATCAGTATTTATGTGTTATAACATTATTCTTTTGTGCATAGTTAGTTTATACACTCTGTAGCATTGTTTTTTTTGGTTTGTAGTTATTAATTATACTTTTGTATATCTGTACTCGTCTGTATATCTTAGATATGCATATTATATTCAGTATCCAATAAGTAATTGCAATATCTGACATGTAACCACTGAATCCAATATGTTACATATAATTGCTCAACCATAATATGTGTTAGTTATTATATTGTTCTGTATTCGTTCTGTTAGTTCTATCTGTATTATTATCATTATTATTGTTATTATTATTGTTATTATAGTGTCTACAATTGTATTATTGTTTATAATACAGGTTAAATGTTTTATTTATTCAATTTAATATGTTGTTTAGCATATATACACTTGTTTTTGAGCATTAATTGTTTGGCTGTGATATTACTATATGTGTTATTATTTGATTTATGCTATAACATATGTATGCTCATTGACAGTGTCAATCATTTGTACTATTGTAATGTTAATAGTGGAAGAGTAGCGTTTGCTTTATTAATCTTTTTAATGTTCATCTGTAGTATGATCAGTTAATTTATTATAACATGATCTCTGTGATATTATAGAATATTTTAGTGATTAAATGTTGCAGTAAGTGATACTCATTGTAGTTTCAATGTTGCCTGCATAAATTACATTATTACTAGGCCAATGATCATAATCACTAAGATGACAATCATATAATGTCTGGGTCGTATGTAGTACAGTAGA